GGGGTATAAATATGATAAATAAATAAATATTTGCCTCCATAGATTGTCACAGGGAAAACCAGTGTCTGCAGAATTCTGATTTTTGTAGGTATAGACATGTAATGGCATCTGAATTCTCTTTTCCAAGGCCTTCAATGCTACCCCACAAGTGCTAGTCTGTATTAATTCTTAACTGATGGTTCCTTTACTGTTGCTAGTTCTTCCTAAAAGGCAGAAGCTATTCACCACTTCAGTATCTTCAGTGTCAATTTTAAGGCTGGTTGTTCTACCTTTTGTCATTAGTTTGGTCTTCTTGATATTTAATCTCAGTCCCACTGTTCACTATGCTGCTTGACTTTTATTACATCTTGCACATTATCTGCATTTTCAGCTGTCATAAGCATAGCACAAGTTATTGATATTTTTTCCTCCAGTTTTAAAACTACACTCATCTTCTTCCAATCCAGCTTCCTTCAATATATATGCAGCATATAGGTGAATAAGGAGAGAGCATAAAGCCTTGTCTTTCTTGTTTGCTGACCTGGAGCCAATTTGTTTCACCATGTTCCATCTGGATTGTGGTTTTCTATCCTGTATATAGGTTTTGAATTAGGACAATGAGAAGTTCTGGGATTCCCACTTTCCTAAGGCAGCTTGATAGGGTTGACACATTCAAATGCCTTTTTATAATCAATAAAGCACATATTGATTTCCTTTTGCTATTATTTGATTTTCTCAATTATCCAGAGTGCATCAGCAATGTCTTGTTTCTTTGAATTTTTTAAAGCCAGCTTGAACATGCGGCATTTCCCTTTCCATGTAGGCTTTATTTGCACTGAATGATCCGAAGCAAGATACTTAATATGCCACAATTTTCTAATTTTATATAAAATTATATCATTCTTAAGGAATATAAATGGAATACAATACAGAATGATCAGATGCAATTAAAAAACAACAATACTGGTATTTTTGTAGAATTACCACACAGAATATTTTACAGATATCTATAACCTGAATTTCTCAGGGAGTTTATACACCCAGATGAGTATTTTCAGTTTCTAAGCAGCTAAAGATGCCCTGTTCCAAATGCCACCAGACCTGGATTCAAGACTGGGCTCAACGAGAATGAGAGCTTTCTCCATTAGCTATTTTAGAAATCTATATCCTGATACAGACCATGTAGTTGCTTTTGTCCCTTCTGGTTTTATCCAAACAGGTTTGATCATTCTGTTTTACGTATCTAAGGCAGCTGGAGTCTATGTTTGGCTGTTTGTTTTTATGGAACTGATTTAGCTATTTTACTGTTTTGATTTTATTGTAAACCACTTGTAAACCTCTCCTAAATATAGATGGTTTTCCAAAACACACAGTGTATTTATTTTGTTCCTTTTCTTTAAGTTACAAAATATATGATTAAGCCCTGAAAAATAAATCTAAACATCCTGCCTTAGGTTCTGAGATCCAATTAGCATCACACTTTATTTATCATGTACTATGAATCTGATCTATCAAAAGCTATATTCTATTTTATGTATTAAATATCAGCATGTAGTGCCATTTTATCAATCAATCAATCATATTTATATAGCCAGCCACCCATCTCACATAAAAGTGACTCTGGGTGGCGTATAGCACTTTGTACATGCTTTCTTAGGAGTGAGCCCTATACTGAGTCAGTATAGGACTACAGCCTAAATTGTGGCAATTCTGTCTCTGGGAAGAAGCTCAGACAAGATGGTTCATGTATACTGTACGTTAACAGTTCATACACAGGAAATGCCTAACAACTGAAATGGATATAGTATTTTATATCTATATCATGTTAGGTTTTATAGAATTATGATTGGGTAAAGTTGTATTTATTTTCTTGCATATTAAATTTAGGCAATAATGTTCTAAGAAAATAAAATGATGAAAATGAATACAGGCAAGAATGCCCAGATAACAAGAACAGGAAAAGACAACAAATCAATATTACTTTGAAATAGCTAAAGCTAATGAAATGATGCATATTTCAGAATGACAAAAAAATCTGATTACTTATTAAATCAGAGTAACTGTACTAACAAAGCAGTATAAAGCAATACAGAAACTAACTTGTAATATTCAGCAGCAGTTTCAAACTCTCCAAGGAAAATATAGGCATTTCCAAGATTACTGTAGGCTCTTCTTTCTGCAGCTCTATCACCAAATTCTTTTGCAATTAGAAGGCGCTGAAACAGAATTAGCCTGTCAATTATTATAACAACAACCAGAGTAAGAATCCTTATTCTCAATACTGTTTCCAGAACAAATAACAAAGTGCTTATATAATTGATAGTAAAGATTCACTTTTTCCCTTTCAAAAGCACATTTTTACCAGAAAATTTTGTATTAAACAGAAAAGAATATAAAGTCCCCTGTCTCCAATAATTCACAGTAGTATCTGTTTGTTTTTCAGCCAAAAAATACATTTAAAAATATGACATGCAAAACTAAATATGTATCAGAAAATCCCAATTTTCTGTTTCCAGGTTACTAAAAAAAAAAAAAGGATATACTTTAGCTTTTTTTTTATATATATATAAGTCATAGAAATTTCTTTGGTGTATCCATCTTCCTGTATATACTTCAAAGCAGAAACCAAGGAAACAATAGCATCTGCTTCACTAGAATTATTCACATGCAGTAAATGTACTTTTTAAACATATAATACAATATACAGTAAACCAAAAAACATCAACATGCACTCTCTTGTACCTGTTCATGGGCAGTAACAGCACTTCGGAAGTTGCCCAGAAGATAATGCGTATTCCCCAAGTTTCCATAGGCACGTCCTTGGGCAGCTCTATCCCCCAGGTCTGTTACGATTGTCAAGTTTTCCCTATTTTAAAAAAACAATTACAAGGTTTAGGTTGGAAGAAATGTACAAGTAACAATTATGAAAAATATTTTCTTGTTAATTCAAAAGAAAATATTTAACTTGTTTTTATACAGATTAGTTTAATGGCCATTATATATTAATATTTGCCATCCTTATAAGGTGATGACCTTAAATCATCTGCGATTTCACATGCTCTAAATTATAGTAACAATATTGATGGCTGCTGTCCAATAGTTCTTTTTCTTCCTACACATTCACCCTATTTAAGTCACTACTGCAGTAGGAGAAATAGAGCTGGAATTTTAAATTACACTGGATTTTATCTAAATTTTGTATCTTTTTAAATTTTTGTGCACTGACATTATAAAATTTAAATTTGGTTTAAAAGAATCAACACATTTTAATCTATTATAAAAATGATGATTAAAAACTATTAATCCATTATTAAAACTTTTCTTACTCGTAATAATCTGCAGCTTTCCGCAATGCAGTCTTAACATCATCTGGAAATTCCCCTGGATCATGGGTACCTGCACAGGCAACACTTTTACCCTTGGAGTGATATACATTTCCAAGATTATACAGAGCTCTTGCTTCTCCCACCTATAAATAAAAATAAAACACTCTATAAAGTTCTTATGCCACATACAGTAGCTATTCACTTAATTGAATGGTAAAATAAATCTCTTATTTCCTGTTGTGAGAAGTAGCGGTTTTCACTATTATATACTACCCCCACACTATCCCCTGTTCACATCTTACACATTTATGAGTTTAGTATTATGTCACAGAACAATATTTTCCCAAAAGCCCATTCATTCACAAAAGGATACTTTTTGATCTCAACAATGCTACTACAGTCAGAAAGATAACAAGATTATCAAAAAAACGCATACGCTCTCCCAATGTTTTTTTTAGATTGGGTCAAGGAGAAACACAGAAGACATCTGCCTAAAGATACTGTGGTAACCAACTGATAAGCTTGAAGAACTTGATCAAAACAGTATTATTCTATTGCTGACATCAGGTTCATCTTAAATTTGTAGCATTATTCAAAATAACAGATACTGTTTTTTTTCTTTCAATACTGACTGTAGGAATTGTTCTTACCTTATCATTTAAATCTCTTGAAATATCAAGGTGCCTCTGACAGCAGACAATTGCTTCTTCAAAATTCCCAAGGACCTTTAAGGTATTTCCCAAGTTGCCACTAGCTTTAGCTTCTCCTAGCTGATCCCCAATTGTTCTGAAAATTGAACACTCAGTCAATCCTTCTGTTTTTCTGTTAAAAAGTCAGCTCAATGTACTCAATTTGAGTAGCAGAAACACTTTTATTAAACTTTATTTGTGTTTGCAACTGTACACTTACTGTGCTTAAAACATTTTTACCCATAGCCTTAAGGATTCTAATTCAGATGATTTCTTTTTCCTAGTTCTTTTTTCTCAGACATGGATCTTCAAATCTACCAGTACTCCCAACTAGTTTGTCTAATCATTAGAAAAGATGAGAAGAGTAAAGCAACACCCGGTGAACCATATTGGGGAAAGATTATACTCCACATCCATGTATGAATGCCACTGAATTTGGACATATTTAATACATTTGGCTGAACTGTTATTTCTGGGATTTACTTCCAAGTTACAAGTATAACATTACACTGTGGATATAGTATATTCCAGATAGAATGTATTTTAGAAATTGGTCAAACACTCAATTATATAGTCTAAAATATATTTTAAAAGTAATGTAAGATTATTGTGAGGGTTCAATTCTGTATGTCATTTCTTGTGAATACAATTTAATGCCTAAGACAAATTACGTGTGTCATTCTCCTGAACTTTAAACCTTCCTATATATTATTCTGAGTAGTTCCTGATAACAAATTTCACTTATATGGCTAAGATAACCTGCCCTATCTGACAGCTCTGTTGTCATATGTGATGGAGAAATTTTTGGCAATATTTAATTGAACAAACTTTTAATCATCATCACAAAATAGTGATATCTAGATCAGTGCTTCCCAAACCTGGGTAAATTACCCAAAATTGGGTAAAAGTGGTTTTTCACTGGGTAATGACACACAAACCCATTTACAATAGAGACATTTACACCGACTTAAAATTGCCACGTGTACTAAAATATATTCCAAAATCTCCCAAAGTATTCCTATTAAGATGAAAAACAATGAAATTGCCAATGGTAATTTGCTGAAATGACATAAAAATCATTCAGTGATATTGTTTTTATAATACAGGTAGTCCTCGAGTTATGATCATTCATTCAGCAACTGTTCAGAGTTACGACAGTGCTGAAGGGACTTATGACTGGTTCTTGAAGTTTGGCTGCTGCAGCACCCCTGCAGTCATGGGAACAAAATGTGGGCATTTGGCAAGCAGCTCACATGACATGATTTTGTTATTCCATCTTATTACAACAAAGAGCATTCCTGGTAGCCATGCTGTGACTGTTTCTTGAACTGGCCTATCTTGAAGGGCTGACATAAAGGTACCAAAATCTGCATTTACCTTGCAAGAGTTAAATCATGGTGATGATATTCCAAAGCTTTTGCGTATTCATGCAAGTAGAAATAGGCATTGCCCAACTGGCTATAAATAGCACTGAGTGTTTTTAAGTCTTCAGTTCCAACCTGAACTGCAGCTTCAAAGAAAGATACCCCAGCTCGACAATCCCCTGCTTTACATAAGCGTTCCCCTTCCAAGGCAAGCTCCAGGCATGATGCTTCCATTCTACAAATATGAAACACAAGAACATTTAAGTTTTAAAAGAATGGTATTTCTTCTAGTAGTTATTGAGGAAAAATAAACATATTAATTTATTTCAAGTACTTATTGAAGCACTTATACTTGCATCACAAGTTTAAAACATATTATTAGCCATAGTTAAGGAAGGAGGGAGGTCATTGGGTATTGGCAGTGGGTAGCAACTAATGAGAGGGGCAAGTGTGCTGGTGGAATATGTAGTATTGAGTTATCAACAGGCAGTCCTCAGGTAATGACGACTCATTCAACAACCAAAGTTATGACAGTGCTGAATGAGCAGTACTTATGACCAGTCCTTGAAGTCCTGATTGTTGCAGTGCTTCTGTTGCCATGTGATCATGATGTGGGCATTTGATGCCCGGCTTGTGATTATGACATTGCAGTGAGCCACATTCACATGATCAAAATTTCTCACATACCCTGCTGGCTTCCCACGAGCAAAGTCAATGGGGAAGCCGGCAGGAAGTCAGAAGTTGCTCCCACTCCTGCTGCTTTTTTGCCTGCCTATACTCCATAGCGCCTGCCTGCAGCACCCACGCTCAGCACCTGCCCACAGCACCTCCCACTGACACTCGCTCATGCTGCAGAATGCCTGCCCACTGCGCCCTCTTGTGTATCCGTGGCCTGCTTACCTGGGACTCTTGCCTCTTCCCGTTTAACAACCCGTGCAGTTCTGGAGTTATAACAGTAACTGGGACTGCTGGGATTGCCATTGCTAAGTGATGTAGTCACGCGCTGTTGCACTTTATGATTGCATCACTAAGCAACAGAAATTTCGGTCCCAGTTGCTGTCGTAACCCGAGGACTACCTGTAACAATGGCAGTTAAGGGGTGGGAATGAGGGACATTCATAAAAGGGAAGGTGCTAGGAAAATTGGAGTGGATGAGGATCCCACAGGGTTATGCTGCTGTAGAAACTGCTGAGGGAGGAGTGGAGATGGGGAAATCCGAACCAAGTTCCTTGTAATATCCAGTTCACTGATTTTTCCAAACAAGTGTATTTATATTTAACATATCAACAAAATTGTTACAAGAATCCAATATTCAGGCCTTCTTATTCTAAAAAAAGACCTATATCCAGTCAACTTCCACCCTATTTTCCTGGTCTCCATCCTGCTCTTTATCTGACTTGAACTCTTATACAGGGTAGTAAACAAATTTGAGGAGAATTAAAAATCTGGGAGGAACGATCACATGTAAGCAACTTCTGGAGCCAGACTGTGCCATGCGCAAGATCCAGCCGTTAGGGCTCCTCTTCAACCATCTTTTTATTCATATAATTATAATAATGTTTCTTTAAAAAAGAACACTCTGAGCAAGGATCATGTTTGATGCAGCATGTAATTATCTTGGACTATATTCTGAAGATAATCATTGCTCCCTACTTATCATATTTTCCTAATGCCCGATGAACTATTTAATGTGAGAATAAAAACACTTCTAATTATAACTTCACACTATGTCTTTTAATCTTATATTAACTTTTATTCTTTGTAACCACCATAAAACAGATCAGATAGAATATGAAGCTACTATTTCTATTTTAGTTTAATAGAAAGAATCTGTTAAATTAAAGGTGACAAAAATACAGAAATAAAACTAGCATCATAATTTAAAATTACAAATAAACAACTTACTGGAAAAACTGTAACATAAAGTCACAGAAATTAGTGGATACATAACTGAATTTATTTCAGTACACAGACTATATAATATGTTACAAATGCTATTTTATAGGAAGAACATCAGTAAATACTTTATTCTGAATTTAAGATTTACTTCCTCAGTGTTTTAAAGTTTTTGATAAAAATCACTACTAGAGATCACATATAAAATGAAACTACTGAAAGAATACCATACCTCTTAGCTTTCGACATTCCGCAGCCTAAACACAATGATATGACAGACATTCTTAACTTGTGCAGTAAAAATAAAATTTATATTTCATGCATGGAAAAAGCATCCCAGTTTGCCTACCTACAGCATACATTTAGCATTTCTCAGAAATAGCCAACAGGTATTTTCTTCCATTTTATTAAAATTATATAACAAAATAACAAAAGATTTAACCCTCTCTTATTGGGTAATGTTAACTAATCCTCTCCTCTCCAGAGAGGTTCTACCAGGGCACCTTATGTTAAATGCCACATCCAATTAAAATTAAGTGAATGTATTCCACCCCATACCTGAAAGGTACAATCCTATTAATGCAATAATAAATTGTATAATCACCATAATCACCATAATACCACTGATTCATTTTTGGCTTGTGAGTACACACACACGTACATGTACACATTTAATTAAAAAAGTTGTGAAAGTATCCATGTCTACACTTTTAAGAATTATCATTGTAAAAGAGACAGCTGTGTAATACAGTAGCAAAAAAGACAAATTGTAATTATTAATTTCTAAATAGCTCTATGATATTCTGCAGTTACCAGAGCACAACTTGACTATCAGATTCAGTTCTTAGTTTCAAACTTTAAGAAGTACTCAAGCAAACTGCAATAGGTTTGAAGCAGAAAAATGACAAGATTCACAGTCCTGGAAACTAAGAGACTGAAAGAACTCTTTTGTCTTGAGAAGGGGGGGGCAGATATAATATCTTAAAAGATGTCATGTGGAAGGCCAATCTGTTCTCTATCATCTCAGAGTGCAGGACAAGAAATGACATATTTAAGCTAAAGAACAGATTTCTGTTGAATGTTAGGAAAAAATTCCAAACCACTAAAGCAATTTGATGGTAGAGCCAGTTCTCAGAAAGGTGGTGAGCTCCTTTGCTGGATGCATTCAAGGAGGGTTGGACAGACATTTGTGACCTATACTTTAATTTGGATTACTGCACAAAACAAGAGTTCAGACTACATGACTCCTTCTAGCCTTATGTTTCTATGAAAACAGCTTCCTATTCCCACTGTCTTCTCCAGACTATATGAGCAATTATTCTGTAACCAAGTATTCAATAAAATAATACAATTTAATAATGTAGGACAGACCTCTGCAGTGCTTTGGGTTTGAAGACATAAATGTAGTACAAGTCTGCACTTCTTAAAAACAGCATCTTTTCCTTGGATCAGCTTTGGATTTAACGAAAACATGTGATCAAATAGAAGGTGCAAAGGGACTCCAACTTCTTTTGTGAACTTCTCTATGTTGCCTTACATAGCTGCAGCATGATCCTGTAAAAAGGTTTTTAGTTTATACAGTTGCAAACAAGTACTGTGTGTACACTTGCACATTCCAAAGCATGTTCTGCCTTTGAATCTGAAGCACTGCAGAGATAGGTGTATACTTTAAAAAAATCCTTCATTTGTTTGCAAAAACCAAGACAAGCAACGGTTTATCACATTACAGCCTTGTTTTGGATTCTAGGTATAATTATATTATGGATGCAGTGTAAATATTAAGATGTTGCAATTTATCTTTTTTTAAAAAAATTCTCAATCTTTTAATTCTTCTCAAGCCTTAGCCCATTTTATTTGGAAATGCTGTAATTTCTATTATTTTAGAATACAAGCTAGTGTCATTCAAAAATCATTTGAACCCACATTGTTTTGAGAAACAAAACCAAGCAAGCTGTGTTACCAAGCAAGTGGCCCTTTACTACAGTGAACAGATACAGCAGGTTCAAGTGTGATGATGATGCACAGGAGACAAGGTATATACTCCTACATTTAAAAAAAAAATCCTAAGAGCATTTTCCATCTTCCCATGTGGGAAGACGCACATGCTCCTTGATGAGGCAAGAAATAAATAAAACATTCTATTTCAAACATAGAGAAGTTCACAAAAGAAGTTGGAATCCCTTTGCACCTTCTATTTGATCACATCTTTTCGTTAAATCCAAAGCTGATCTAAGTGTCATAAGCACTCCTCTCATATTGCCATCTTTGCTCTGTTTAAAAAATAATGCCTTTAACATTCTTCAGGGTTGCTGTGGCTGGGCTAGCTTAGTCTCCTTAAACATATCCTGCATTTTCCTGGAACTGTGTGGCTCTGTGAATGCCCAGGAAAACATGCAGCTTCTTTAAAGAGACACTCACAAGCATGGCATGCATGACTATGCCTGTTCCAAACCACCTTTTCAGTTCTGGATCAAAAACGCTGCACATATTTTCTAACCATCAACACTGTTGATTTAGAAGATAATAAATATAATAAAACCCCATACAGAAACAAAAGATATATGGGTTATAAACGAATAAGTACGATTCATGTAGTTACTGACGGCATAAAAGCTGAAAAATCCAGCATTTTTGAACTGAACTAACATTAGTTCCAGCCCAGAAATAGAGGCTGGAACAAGTAAAGCACATCTATATGCAGAAATTCATTGTTGCAGACTTATCTTAGTAGCTTTGTCAAAGTCTACATTTTAAAAAAATCAATTGATACTGTGATGGTGATACAAGTGCAAGATTCATTTTATTCTAGATGAACAAAGAGGGATGGGCAATTTATTTATTTATTGATTTATTAAACTTGTCCCCACCCATCTCCCCCCAATGGGGGACTCTGGGCGGCTTACAACA